CATGAGTTGTTTTTATAACGGGTAGTCCTCCTGGCCAGTCATCGTCACGGTTTGTAACATCGTAATTACACAGGTAAATGCTAAGATGTCAATCCATATATGTTCCATAAGAAATAAATTACCGGGAGATGTCTCGTTTTCTCTGATCATATATTAATTGACAGCGTTTATGAACAGCTGTTAAAACACAGGCCTTTGTAAACCGGTAAATCACAAAAAAGAAAAATCCGAGACATAAAAAACAGAAAATATTAATGTATCTGGAAATAACATTGCCTTTAGATAACTAAAATAAATTAATGTCCGCCGATTTTTGAATTAATCCGAACGTTCATTGATGTGTGTCGGTATAGTGTACCTGTACAGGCAGTGTGTATATTTTTATGAAGCCTTCGTCCAAACGAACAATATAATAAATCTTGAATGAATTAACTAACCCCTTCAGTACACACACATTCGCCTATACCTGAGATCTAATCAAAATCAGATCTTTTTTACGGCCCGGAATTCTGATAGTCGCTGTATTTCTAATCTGATTGACTATACACGTGCCTTTAACAAATATTTTTTAATTTTCTTCGGGACCCCTGCATCACTAGTCAGGTGCTGTACCGACTGAGCTACCCAGGTCGATATCCACGACCCAAACCATTACAGTTTAAATAATAAATAATTAATAAAACTTTTATTAACTAATATCTTCATTTTTTTTTTAAATAAATTTTTAACTTAATTATAAGAAATCAATGCAGGTGCTCCACGTGTCAATTATTGTGATAGAGGTACTTACCACGTGACCTGATCATAATGCATTCATATTGGTCAACTCTGTGATGCATGTGTGTATTTATCAAACCTTTCAAACTCTTTCCTCTTGACACCATCTTTAAGTGTATTAAAAAGTCAACCGACTTCCTGTCAATTTTGAATATCGCCACCGCACGTGTATTTTGAACTTACCAATTTCATTATTTTCATCAATAATAAATATCCTTTTAGCCTGTCATTTTCGGAATTTTAAAAACTAAACTTCACACAAAAAATCACGGACTTCTTGTTAAGTTATAATGCAAACAAACGACTGAAACATCTTGAACACAAGAAGGGTTGGTGAGGTGCATAACTACATGTATAAAATAAAAAAAAAACAGCAAAGGCGGATCTAGGGCCGGCGCGCCGGGCGCACGCCCCCCCCCCCCCTTCCGTTCCGTTTACGAATTTTTTGTATGTAGAACTTATATGTCCATTATCCTTAAATCAAGGAAAAAACATCTCTTATTTGTAAGAATTTGTCAACTTCTGGGGGCTTCGCCCCTGGATCCCCACCAGGGCTTTGTTATAGACCCTCTGGGGGCTTCATTGCAGCCCCCCGACCCCTCCCCTGCCTTCTACTTTGCCCCCCCCCCCGTTATGAAATTCCTGGATCTGCCACTGCAAGGGGCGTAATAAGCAAGAATAATATAACTTTGAAGGGATGTGATCATCGGTATTGGTACTTTTACCTATGATATATACACAAAGACCTCCAGATCTACACGACAGAAATAAAGCTTGAGCGGCAGCTCTGCTTTAAAACATGTATCTACTTTTCGGTGCAATCATAGAAAATTATAAGTATTTAGCAAATCCTTGCTACAAAGCACAAACACCATAATATTAAACTTGACATGTAACTAAAATTATTCCATCAATAATCCACGAACATACATTGAAAGGATTATAAATATCTGTAGAAATTAAAAAGCAATTTGGAATTTTTAAAAAAAAAAAAATGTCGGCGAGTTTCTTATTGCTGCTATTGCGTTGAACATGCCATTTGATTGACAATCTCTCTATATATGTAATATAGAATTTTTTGTATTATTTTCATTCTTTATCTTAATAATTAAATATTACTGATTATTTCTATTTTTATCATTATTTTGTACTACACGTATGTGTTTGTGGTTTAAGTGCAAAGTTAGGCTGTAGATTATAACACTATAACATATGCCAGGACAGACATTTCTACATGTTACTTTTCAAGGACATAGCATCGTTTTTGAAAAGGGGGGGGGGGGGGGCATCCAGAGAAAAAAATTAACTTACCTGAAAAGACTTCACAAGCAAAACCAAAATAGGAAAATTGCCCAGAATCCTATTTCCTGGCAGAAAGGGGTGGGGACAACGGGACAATACTGCAACAAAAAGTGGGGGCCAACGGGACTTTCAATGAACATTACTAAAGTAAAAAATTAGGTCTGAAAAAAGGGGGAGGCTGATGCTACGTGCCTGCTCTTATAGCTCATGCTTTATTTGATCTGCAATATCATAAGTTTACTTGATTGAATATCTCGGAGTCTCTCTTATCCTTTCTACAGCCTTTTAGTTTGACCAACTATGCAAAATTTAGCCTTTTGAACAGTTGGCGTTAGGGCTTTCATACTTCACATCCGAAATTCTTTGTGACAAGACATTTTCTTTGGAATAAATATTTTTGACCTTGTGACGTTCACCTTGGAGTTTGACCCACTTTTTTAAAAATCTAACCTTGGCAATACCTTTTGAACGGTTGGGACTAGTGTTTTCACATTCACAGGTGTATTCCTTGTGAAAACGCTGTTCATTGGATATCAACAATTTTTACTATTTGACCTTGACCTTGGAGTTTGACGTACTTTAAAAAAAATTAAAAGTTTTGACTTTTCACCTTTGACCTTAGAGTTTGACCTACCTTTGAAACATTTTAATCTCATTCATAACTTTTCAACGGTTGATGTTAGGGTTTTCGTATTTTTACATGTGTGTTTCTTGTGACAAGACCCTCCCTTGAGTACCGACAGTTTTGACTTTTGTCCTTGATCTTGGGGTTTGACCTACATTTGAAAAAAAAAACCTTGACCTTTGTCATAACTTTTGAATAATTAACGCTAGGGCTTTCATATTTCAATGTCTATTTCTTATGACAAGGCATTCCTTTGGACACCGTTAATCTATCCTTGACCTTAACATTTGACCTGAGTATAAAAAAAAATTAACCTTTGCCATGCTTTTCAATAGTTAGTCTTATAGCGGTTTCATATTTCACAGTTATATTCACTGAGACGAGATCTTTCTTTGGGTAATATAATTTCTTATCTCTTGACTTTGACCTTGGAGTTGGATACGGATTTGAGAAACTTAAACCTTTGCCATAAGCTGCAATACCGGGGCATCAGTGTTTCACAAACACGTCTTGTTCAATATCCAAACTGGACAAAAACATTCACAATGAATCTTTAAATCATTGTGTGGAACCTGATAAATTATTTGACTCGATCTATGGTCTGAAAGAACATGGCTAACCTTATCCAGTCAATAACTCACAGATTGGGATTCCAGTGTGTGTTATGGTCTTGATGAAAGGTCATTTGGATGAGTTTGGATGAGAAGCTTTAAATTCGTTACCGTCTTTTTCTAGTGAAACATTGTTGGTATCATGCAGAGTGTGACATAGCCTAAACTCAAGTTCAAGGTCACTAAGGATAAGATATTTTGACTGGATGTATGGACTGTATGAACATGAGTGAATTTGAGAAGTTAGTAATACACAGATGGGGTTTGCTCATAACCAGAGTGTGTCATGGCTTTCGCAAGGTCATTTGGACAAGTTCAAGGTCACATGCATTCCTTTATCGTCTTTATACTACAGAGTAAAACATTGTTAGTTGATACCTCTTACAAGATTGCTTATAACCTTATGATATGGCATGACCTTGACTCAAGGTCACTTCTTCCTGCCTGCAGCTCCAACGGAAGACCTACTCGTTGCTTTGCAACGAGCTCGGCTCTAGTTTCACTTAATTATTTCTTAATTAATCGGGCAGTTTTGTAAATGTAATTAACTATGAACATTGATCCAGACACCAAGCGTAAGAAAGCTTGGGTTAATATTGACACTAAATTTAGTTTCAACACATTTGGTAAAACGTATTTATTACGAACGTACAATTCAGGATTAACATAAGAAGAAAATAAGTTATGAAAAAAAAAAGAGTTCGTGTTATCCTGTCATGTACTTCATGAAATAAACAGACTCCCTGTCAATCGCTCAGGTAAGTGCACTGAAGTGTGACTAATCTCCCCAGTCTTTCACTATCGGCAAATTTCAAAGTGAAAATCAAGCCATTGTGTATAGACAAGCGACAGTGCATGAACCACAGGTGTAGATAGGTGTTATCTTTTGTTTTGTTGATTGTCCCAAGAGTGAAAAGGTGTGAAAAAATATTACGGACGGACATTTTCTATTATAGTAAGCGAAGTGTATACTTTTACCTATGATAATAACAGACAAAATTTATAATGAATTATTAAGAAATGGTTTTGTGTTTCAGATATCTATGAAAAAAAAAGAAGTATGATATAAAACCGGTATGATAAAAAACGAATTGTACTGTATTAATTGCTGAAAGTCTATAACCAAGTTGAGAAGCATGTTTTCAATATCAAAATATATTATCTCTTCATTTCATAAATGCCATTATTTTCCAAGACAACTATACTTTCATTTTCAATTTTTGGTTAGGTCTTTCGTGTATTGTTTTGTACCAATATTTCATTGCATGTATTGTAAACCATATCTTAGTTAGCAGAAAATATCAGTATGTATGGGTGTATCAGTAAATCGTCCCACCTCTATTAAATATTATTGATGATCTTTGATGGTAGGCATTTCTTGTTTGTCTGTTAATCCATCTGTCTGCTTGCATTTTACACTGTAAACCTGCTGAGTGGGGAGAGGCTTAATAATGCAGCGTAGACCTCATTCAGTCGGAAAAGTATCCACAGTATTTTAGCCCAGCTACACCACTATATGCATAGTCAAATCATATATTTGGTATCAAAGACACACTTTAAACTGTAAGCTGTGGGTATGCTCTTTACATGCCCTGATGTTACATTTATTGAGGGAAATGTGCCATGGAGGGGACATCTGTTATGATCCCTATAATAAAGGATTTTATGTCTTGTGTTTTCTGTAGCAGGACCCTGGTACTACGAGCATGGACAGCTGTCCTCGTGTGGAGATCCCTGCATCACAGAGCACCGACATCATCGTCCACTCTGGGGATTCCCCTCAGCTGGTGGTCAAGCTGGTCAATATGAAGGTATTTATTTATTGAGTAGATTAAAATTCATATCATTATGTTAAATTTTATTGCTTGTGTAATAATTCATTTTAGGATATTTATGACCTGATTAATTTGTACATTTAAAAATCTCACTTTGAATATGGAGAGTGTGACTATATGTGACTATCTTTGTCCCTAGGCTGGCCAGACAGATGAGATTTGTTGTAAATTTAGGTATTTAGACAGTGTGACTATATGTGACTATCTTTGTCCCTAGGCTGGCCAGACAGATGAGATTTGTTGTAAATTTAGGTATTTAGACAGTGTGACTATATGTGACTATCTTTGTCCCTAGGCTGGCCAGACAGATGAGATGTGGTGTAGATTTAGGTATTTAGACAGTGTGACTATATATGACTATCTTTGTTCCTAGGCTGGTAAGACATATGAGATGTGGTGTAGATTTAAGTATTTAGACAGTGTGACTATGTGTGACTATCTTTGTCCCTAGGCTGGTCAGACAGATGAGATGTGGTGTAGATTTAGGTATTTAGACAGTTTGACTCTATGTGACTATCTTTGTTCCTAAGCTGGCCAGACAGATGAGATGTGGTGTAGATTTAGGTATTTAGACAGTGTGACTATATGTGACTATCTTTGTCCCTAGGCTGGTCAGACAGATGAGATGTGGTGTAGATTTAGGTATTTAGACAGTGTGACTATATGTGACCATCTTTGTTCCTGGGCTGGCCAGACAGATGAGATTTGGTGTAGATTTAGGTATTTAGACAGTGTGACTATATGTTACTATCTTTGTCCCTAGGCTGGTCAGACAGATGAGATGTGGTGTAGATTTAGGTTATTCAGACAGTGTGACTATATGTGACTATCTTTGTCCCTAGGCTGGTCAGACAGATGAGATGTGATGTAGGTTGAGGTATTTAGACAGTGTGACTATATGTGACTATCTTTGTCCCTAGGCTGGTCAGACAGATGAGATGTGGTGTAGATTTAGGTATTTAGACAAGAATATTGTTGTTCCTGGGAAAGAGGAGTCCAACAGCCTCACATGTCAAAAGGTCAAGGTCAGTAGAAAAAAAAAAAACATTGACTGTTTTTATTGTCATTTATAGATATTTTTATTGTTTTCTGTTGAGAATTGACAGAATTGCATACATGTACAAGCAATCACATATATATATTATTTTAAAAAGCATGATACCAGAGCTGCATTTTAGAAAAGAACTATTTAATTTCTTTGCATAGATCTGTTGATTAAATTATGTTTTTATCATAATTGAGAAGAAAAACTTGTTTAAATTTATATATACATGTAAGTAAAATCTCACAAAATTATTAAGCTTGCAGGATTTTAGAACTGTGTTAAATTTTTAGACTTAATAATAAGATCATTTTTAATACTGGATCTTCATGTTTTTGTCTTTAAAGTACCGTACTTGTTCATACATGTATGATTTATTTATTACGTTTCAGTTCGAGTACTCGCAGGAGACATCCAATGTTGATGCCACGTTTGAAGTTTTGTGGGGACCAAACAAATATCCTCTGGACATGCCCCGAAACACCACAGGTATGGAGATAAAAGGTCTCTAGAACCAGAAAAAACAAAACAGTTATGTAGATAAAAGGTCTCTAAAACTAGTGGTGTATACTGAAAGCCCTAACTCATGATTGTACCAAATAATTTCTGAAGTATGATTGGCTTAAATTTTGAACATACTAATAAATAGCACATGTACAGTAGTATTTTTTAAATGTTGAATACCGGTAGTATGCACCAGTGCCAGAAGAACGTTTATTATATTGATGGTGATTATTTAAATTGAGGTTTTCTACCAAATACAAGTATTTTTATGTTGATTCCAGTCCGGATATACAAGTGTACACAAATGGTGACAAATTGTGGGCTGTGTTTGACGATGGACTCTAAATACAATTGTGGATGGTGTAACGGAACAAACAGGTGCACTCGCAGTCAAGAGTGTCAAGAACAATGGCTCGACAGAGACGATACCTGTCCCAATCCAAAAATATTCAGGGTAACTCAAAACTTTTGTTTGACTCCGAAAGGAACACAAGTTTTACTGGGTGTCACTTAGATGGTTAGGAATTGAAGTTATGTTTCCATTTGCTTTGCTTAGTTAATCAGAGATTTGTCATCTTGTGACAAGACACAAATTTGTAAAAAAAGGTAGAGGTGATTTAAATTTTGATTCAAAATACATTCACAGTATAGCAGAAAGGACTATATTCTGTAGTGGCCAGTATCTGCCCCCAAAATAAAACTTTGATGGAGAAGTCTTTAATTATGTTCTAAACCAGGTGGATATTTGCAGACTTCAAAGCATTAAGTATTTTTATCAACTATGACATCATTAGTTAGATATGACGTCAATAAAATGACGTAAATTCCAAATTGCAATGATTTTGAGAGAAAATAGCGTACTTTACGTCGGTATTTTGATTGGAAATTACCGAGCGCAGGTCTGCTCAGACTAGATCTTTTGATATAATGTGTAGAATGATAATATCAATGAAATATGTGAATATGGTACCTGAGCAGGCTTGCGCTCTATAAATACTATAGTCAAAATTGAACAAACTCTGTGCATTTTGGCCTCTATTTTAAAAATAACAGAAATCCAAATAGTTTGTGACGTCACAGAGACAAGAAAGGCCAACTAATTTTTCCAATTTCATAATATATTGTCTTAATTTGGATTATTTTATACAATATATGCACTTTTTCTCATTTCAAGAGATTTTCAAAATTTGACTATTATGGGGGCAGGAATACGCCCTTACCGTATATAGTTCTTTTGCATGTTTGTCGTTGATATTGTGTATGCAATTGAATATGTTTTTGCTGTTATTTTGTTTGATATTTAATGATGAATTGATATGGTAAAACTTATGTAAAACAGTGAAATTTGAATAATGCATATATTGAATAATCAAAAGAATGCACAGAAAGCTAGTAATTTAAAACTTTGAGAATGAAATTCAATTTAAAAAAAAACACATGAAAATGATGATTGAAATCTAAGCTTTGTACAATAATGCATCATTACCCTCACATTGGATTTGATAATATTTTTGGATTGAAATGTTTCTTTGTAGTTTGAGCCTTCTATGGGACCTGTGCTTGGGAGAACAAATATCACTGTGAGTGGAATCAACCTCGGGAAATCGTACATGGACATCAAGGGTGGGGTCAAGGTGGCTGGGGTCAACTGTATGGTACACCCCGATCATTTCGAGTCCTCACAAGGGTGAATTAAATATTTTATTTTACTCCTCCATAAACAGTTGGTCTAACTTGCATGTATGTTGTATTTGTTGGCATTTTACTTCTGAAGTACATGTATTAGAATCAGAAGAAAAGAATTTATTAAATGTAATTGTTTTAAAAAGAGGTATCGGAAATTTTTCCTGAATAATTTTTCAGTTATTGTGGAGATAAGATTGTGGCTTGTACACCCTTGCTTGAGATGCAGAAACAATTGCACTTCATTTGCATTGTACGGTTTGTTGTTAAAGTGTAAGAAGGATGTGATTTTATTTTTTTTTTTATTTTAACAGATTTAAGTGTCTGACAGACAAAGTTGATGCTCCACTAAATGGAACAATCACAGTGGAAGTGGATAAACTGTATAACACAGAGTCAGACAGTGTCTTCAGCTTTGTGGTGAGTGGAATATTACCTCTTATGTATTTTTTAATTAATATCTCAAATCCTTGGATGTCTTGCCAATGAATGGTTTTAATCAGCTTCATTGAGTTTGAGATAAAGAGGTTTGACTGTATTTGCACATACATTGTAATTGTTGCCAACTTTTGATGCATACTGATTTTTATATATTTTAATAATTTTTGAGATTCCAAAAGTGATTGGTATGAACCCAAACAAAGGCCCCCAGTCTGGAGGAACCTTACTGAGGATATTTGGAGGAAACATGGAAATAGGGTCCCTAATAACTGTGGATGTAGCCGGGAGTCCTTGTAAAGTTACACAGTATGTCAGAGAGAGAGAGAGAGGGGGGGGGGGAGAGTGGGAGAGAGCAAAATGGGGAAGAGAAAGAGGGAGAGAAGGGGAGGGGGTGAGACACAGGGTCACAAATAACCCTGATTATTTCTTATTTAGCTTGTAACACGAGCTTTGATTGGTTACAAAGTCTGGTGTAAATTTCCATACACCAGACTTAAGCCAGGGGGAAAAAATGTGACGACACAATGCATAGTTTCTCTATGATAAAAGCAATTAACGTGACGTCTCAATGCATTGTAGGACGTAGTATATCTTATCGATAGATCGAAACACAGTTGATTGGACTTGTTTACAAAGAATTATTTTGAATACATAGGAAATAAATTTGTTATCCAGGTCCAATCAAGGGTGTACTGGGATTTACCCCGCGTTTTATTCCATACTCCCCAAGGCCGAATATGGGGATTTACCCCGGGTTGTATTCCATACACCCTTCGGCCTTACGGTGTATGGAATGAAACCTTGGGTAAATCCCCGTACACCCTTGATTGGACCTGGATAACTAATAATATAGCACAGAGTCATTGTAAAGTTACACTTTATCTCATAAACAGAGAGAGAGAGAATGAAGAGGGGACACAGAGAGAGAGGAGCAGTAGAGATTTATATCTAGTTTATAATACCTATATATTATACATAGATTACATACATGTATAAAGATAGATGTAGATTATTCTTAGAATATACATGTATTTTATAAATATTATTGAAGTGAGGGCCAGTTAGTTGTGATAGTCATGAGGTGTAATACCTAATATTACCTAGTGTAATAGTTCTGCAGATATCATCTAGCATGCCATTGTGATGCTTTGTTAGCCTCAACTACTTTTTATGAAATCTGAATGAAGAATACAAAACTATGAAATTTGTACCCATGGACTAAACTGAAAACAAAAATTCAAGGAAATTTGACACCTAGAAATAAGTACATCTGCACTTTTTTGATGACAAGGAAGACTAAAAATGAAATGCTTTTCTTTTGCATGCCTTCAGAATTGAGATATCTCCTTAATCTTTCACAGGGTGATGGCAGATGAAATTGAATGTAAGACGTCTAAGTCTGTAAATGGAGTAGGAGAAAGAGAAGTAGAGTTGGACTTTGGAGGATTTAAACGACTCCTAACAGACAAGTTCATGTATACTGAGGACCCCGAAATTACTTACATATCTCGTTATAACAGTACTGTCAGGTAGGGCCCCAAAAATGACGTAATACATGTACAGTGAAACTTCATTATCTCGAACTCAATGGGATTGAGAAAAATCTTTGAGATATCCGAGGATTCAAGATATCCAGGGTAAAATACTGAAAGAATATGGGGTTGGGACTTCCAAATCACTTCGACATATCCATGGTATTCGAGATATCACTGTTCGAGATACCGAAGTTCAACTGTATATTATTATAATAGATCTGTCAGGTAGGGTCTTAGAAATTACCTACATATTTCACTATAACAGTACTGTTAGGGTCCCAGGAATTAACTACATATTTCACTATAATAGCACTGTTAGTGTCCCAGAAATTAATACATATCTCACTATAACAGTACTGTTAGGGTCCCAGAAATTAACTACATATCTCACTATAATAGCACTGTTAGGGTCCCAGAAATTACCTACATATCTCACTATAACAGTACTGTTAGGGTCCCAGAAATTACATGTAACTACATATCTCACTATAATAGCACTGTTAGGGTCCCAGAAATTAATACATATCTCACTATAACAGTTCTGTTAGGATCCCAGAAATTAACTACATATCTCACTATAATAGCACTGTTAGGATCCCAGAAATTAATACATATCTCACTATAACAGTACTGTTAGGGTCCCGGTAACTACATATCTCACTATAATAGCACTGTTAGGGCCCCAGAAATTACCTACATACAGGTAACTCTCGAAACCTCGAAGTCCGCGGGACCGAGGAAAAACTTCGAGAGATCAAGAGTTCGAGTTTTCAAGAGTCCGGAATTTTCCAGGTTTGTTGACAGGTTTTAAAATTAGTCTTACCGGATGTAATGATTTTCATGCAGTGCTAACCTTTTACACATGGTTTTTATAAAACAACGATATTTTTTCGTAATTCAGATGAATATTTCATTAAACTGAGTAAAGCAAAAATGTATATCGTCATATCATGTATATCTATTTATTCTTTGTAATACGGATATCATACTACGCATTCGTTACATGAAAACGACATTTTACAGCATCGTACATAGCATTGACTATTCCAAACATGATCATTGAACGAAGTTCTGTAAGTATTTGTCCAATAACAGTCGTCATATTGACATTGAGGCTGTTTCTGCTTTTTTCATATTTCGTTTAACTTTGACACTGACTCGAAATAAAAATTAAATTAGTGTTTTGTCTTTTAATAAATTACTACTTTTCAATGACACTGCGTCTCTAAATTATCGTAAGACAGTCGATGATAATTTTTTTAATAGCATATAGGCAAAATATGATTCATTATAAATCAATTATCACCTTGCAGCATAAGTGTCACCTGAATAAACATCCTGTTCCTCGAGACCCGCGTCTTCTGCCTGGGGCCATTTAAATGTCCAGGTAAAGGTGCTAATTATATAATCTTGTATACACATAGCCACTTCGAGGTATCGAGGGTAAATTCTAATAGAATATGCATAGCGGGACTGCATTTTGACTTCGAGGGATCAAGGGTTTCGAGAGATCAAGAGTTCGAGAAATCAAGAGTAAATTTGCTTAGTTATATAGTGGAAAAATTCGGGACCGGAGACTCACTTCGAGCGATCAAGAACTTCGAGAGATCGAAGTTCGAGCCATCAAGAGTTACCTGTATCTCACTATAACAGCACTGTTAGGGTCCCAAAAATTACCTACCTCGTATATGTCTTATTATTAGAACATTGTCAGGTATCATATGGCAAATTTCTTAATATTTTGCAACAAGAAAATTGTCCTTATTTCTTGGTTGTTTGTGCAGTTAGAGTTATCTGCCCTTTCATGTGAAATGGAATAAAGTAGAATAAGTTCGAGGTCAGGTCTAGTGAAATTTTCTAGTACTAGTCTGACTGGTCTAGTTTGTTTTCAAGTTAAATGTTGAGGCCTGCCTACAGACGTGTATCTCACAAATTATCTTACCTTCATACATGTATCTCCCAAATTATCTTACTTTCAAACATGTATCTCACAAATTATCTACATACATGCATCTCAAAAATTACCTTTGTACACCTTAAACCACTTGACCTAGAGATTGCTATTAATCTTGCTAAAATGGTACTGCCAAATAGGGATCCAGAAATGATGTTATTTTTGTTTTTGTAGTGGAGGTGTGTATGTACAAGTCTGTGGAAAGCGTCTAAACCTCATACAAAAAAGACTGATATTTCTGGAGGGACATGAAGATTCAGCTGTGGTAAATGAATTACACAGAAATAATGTAAAAGATGACATTGTTTTGCAGTAATATTTTATGCCCTGCATCATATAGTGCAGTTGCAATAGAATATTTTATTGGCACTAACATATGATCATAGCTTATTTGTTTTCATGCTTTTGTTTAAAGTTCAGTTAATAATAAGTTTGAGATTGAATTTTTTTTTTTTTTAAAGAAATGTTAGGTTTGTTCATATGACAAGGAAAGTAGAAGATAAGTTTGGTGGGAGCTAATTTTTTTCTTTGTATTTACAGAAATGTGCAGACGAGTTGAGTAAACTAAAGTGCTTGAAGTGCCCCACTCCCCGACTCCCCCTCTCTTCTGGGGAGATGATCTCAGCTGACCAGCCTAGACTTGTACACTATGGACTAATACTGGACAATGTAGAAAAGTGGAAAAATGTGTCCCATAGTTCTCCATTCCATCCATTCTTCTACTATCCTGATCCTGTGTTGGAGAAACTGCCAGAAAAAGTCAATTATATGAAGGGAAAATCTCTAGTCATCAAGGTAAGTGTGAAAAGGGAAAACTTCTAAGGATATCAAAGTATTAAACGAGAGAAGGGAAAACCTCTAGTTATATAAGTAAATGTGAGAAGGGAAGACTTCTTAAGTTATCAAGGTAAGTGTTACATGTTTAGATATATAAATAAAAGTTGATAAAAAACAGAAGTTTCCCCACTTTCACATTTATACCCCTGGCCATCACTGTATGACTTCACACCAATTAAGTGTTCTAAAGTTATGGACACAATTAAAACTTCAGTTTCCAAGACTAATTCAGAATCTAGTTAAGCTACATTCTCTAGAGAGATTTTTGAATTTATTCTATAGGGATCTTCATAGTTTTATTTTTTTGTAGTCTTTTATGAAGAAAGTGTGTGAAATTTTTTATATTTTAGGGATCTTCAATGTCTTCCATTCAGCCTCATCATGATCTTAGGGTATTGGTTGGTACTGAGCAGTGTACCAACATCCAGGTGTCCTCAGATAATATCACCTGTATCCCACCTGAGCAACCAGAAGGAATGAGACATGGAAGGGCCAGAGTCATTGTAAGTTTGTGTCAGAGTATCTGATTGGATAGAAATTTTGTGATAAGATCATCTTTAAAAATACAGACAAAATGTAGCCTGAAAAACATCTACAATTTCTTTTCAGATAGAAGTTGGGAACTTTCATGAAGATGTTGGCTACTTAACCTACACAGGTTAGGAAGTAACAGATTTATATTTTTATAGGGAAATTATATTAGCAACAAGGCTGAAATGTATTGAGAAAGAGTGCATACTAGTTAATGTTTAATTGGCCTGTTCCTGCAAGTATACATTTGTCAATAAATGTATTTAGTTGGGACATTTGAAAGTAGAAGAAATTTGAAAGTACAGAAAGGAAATATTCACATGGAATTAATTTGTTATAGTGTTAGATCTGCTTGTTTTATTTCTTTTTTTAGCTCACCTGAGCTGAAAGCTTATCTGATCACCTGTTGTCTGTCGTCCGTCTGTCTGTAAACTTTTCAAATTTACAACTTCTTCTCTAAGAACCACTGGGCCAATTTTGACCAAAGTTGGTACAAACCATCCTTGGGTGAAGGGGAGTTCAAATTGTTAAAATGAAGGGTCAAATTTCTCAAGGGGAGATAATCAAGAAAAGACAAAAATAGGGTTGGGTCATTAAAAAATCTTCTCACAAACCACTGGGCCAGAAGTAGGGAGTAGGGTGGTCCACAATAAGTATTAATAGGGGGAAAATCTGGTGAAGAACAGCAGGGCCAAAGTTACTCAGGTGAGCTTTGTGGCCGGTTGGCCTTTTGTTTTATTACAGGATTAAGTTTTTTGAGAGAGAAAGAGAGTGCATCTTTTGCAAATTTTCTTGAAAAATGTGAATCCAGAAATACTGCATTGGTAGGCATGATTTTCATATAAAGTAAATTAATGCTTATCTACAGATCCAGAAAACCCGAATTCGTCGGAGAAACCAATTGCCATGGGGATCATTCTTGGAGTGGTGATTCCAATGATTGCAATCATTGCTCTTTTGACAATTTGTATTATACGACGTCAGCGAAAGAACAAGCCACCAGATGGCGCTATACCAGAACTTCTCAAGGACCATGAGCAGGATGAAGAAGAGGAGATAGGAATGAATAGCATGTCTGTTAAAGCTGACATGAATGGACAAATAGCCAATGGAGGTAATTTAGCTGATATAAAAACATGTATATTACTTAAGGTTCATTGATACTCTGATAAGAGGGATAACTCTAGCTGGGATAAATATCTTTTATTCCTTTATAAAATTGTCAAGTTAAAAGGCAATTCCTGTCAAATTTTGCACCACAAGGTATGCTGAAATTGTTTGCATTTCATACATGAATCAGACTTCTCTTGGAAAATCTGAAGTTTTATGGAAAAATTTTATGTGAGTGAACAGAGAGTGATGAACCTCAGAATTATCCACCCTATAAAAAAAATGGTCAAAGATTTTAAATTTCACATAGCCAAAAAAATAAAGCCAAACCAAAAAACAATTTTTCAGCAAAAAAAAAAAAATTTCTTTTCTTTGATTGCCAACATATTTTCACACTTCCAGATTCTGGTCCATACATAAGCGAGCTGTTGGGACGGATTGAAGATGAAGCAATCCGACAAAATGTCAGTGATTTCCTCATTCCTAGAAGTAAACTCAGCATAGGGAATCTCATTGGAAAAGGTATAATAGACAGAATATATATGTATGATTTACTATAGAATCATCAACTTTGTAAGGTGGCCTAAAATACTTGACTAGGCATAGCAGAGAGTTTCCTGCCAAAAAATTTTGGAATTTTATTCGGAAACTCCAGTAGAAAAAGTACAGTCCCTTAGAGCTTATAAATCACTTCTGTACTGATTTAACTTTTTTGTCATTGTCATGTCATTGAAGGGAGCTATGGTAACACATCTCAGGGACAATATAAAAACTGTAAAGGAGCCGACTCAGAGGAAAAGAGTAACACAGTCGCTGTCAAGTCTTTACAAGGTAATAAGAAAGTCAATTTTCTGTATGTCTTGAGTCGTTGAGTCAAGCTGAATTTCTTTAATGATAGGTTGAATTCTTAAGCATTAAGAAAAATGTAAATTACAAATACCTCTTACAGAAGCTCTAAATACTAATGAAAAGAAAAATGTTTTTGGAGTTACTGAAAATTGTAGTATTCTAAAAAGGTGTACATATCGAGTTTATTTTGTTCATTTCAAAAAGGGTACCTGCCATAAAGAAGCATTAATAACAGAAATCACTGTTTTTACTAATAATTGAACCCCCCCCCCCCCCCAAAAAAAAAACTTTATTTTGGTCAAATGTAATGTTCAGAACACTTTAGTCTATTTCAAACTTTGTCATTTACTGTAGATTTCTGTTTATTCCATTTTACAACAAAGGTCAGATCACTTTAACTGTATAAAACTGTCATGGAATTAGAACTCAGTAGGCAACGTTTCCTTGAGATCATTTGTAAAGTGACCTTATAAATCAAAAGTTAACAACAAGGTAATATAACTGTTGTAGGCTGTTCCACGGATAATGAGACTATTGATGGTTTCTTGAAGCAGTGTGCTAAGTTGAAGGATCTACAACACCCCAATGTGTTGACTATGTCAGGAGTCTGTTTATCTGCCTCAGAGCCTCCATTAATAGTGCAACCTTACCTACAGAGGGGAGATCTCAAAAACTTCATAAAAGACACATCAAAGGTTTGTTTTTAGTTGGTTTGGATAACCTCAGTTATTACATAAGGTTTGTTTTTGGGAAGGAATGTGGGGAAAATGTGTCAAAGTTTCTTGATTTTAAATGATTATGCTATTCATCTGGATGGAAAATTGGTATCTCATGTGTATATAACGCTGTAATGCCTGATAATTTGTGTTTCAGAATCTGACATTAGTAGAATTATTAGAGATAGCACATCAGGTGTGTGAGGCCATGTCTTATCTAGAAGAAGTTCACGTCATCCACGGGAATCTCGCAGCCCGTAACTGTCTGTAAGTTAATTTGTTTGTTAGTGTAGATATGCACTGTTTGTTAACCAGTGAATTTTTATGCTCAACAATGAATATGGCTGGGGCATATAGTGTTTGTCATGTCCATCATTCTTTCCTTCCATCACACTGTGTTTAGCTCGGTTTCAAAGACCGTATGCTGATACATATTCATAAGAGCTATTCAGCTGTATCAATATTTTTGACCTTGACCTTTCCTTTGACCATGACCTCGCATTTCTTTGCATTAAGCTCAGTTTCAAAGAAACTTATTCAAGAAATTTTTATCTAAACATATATATTGATACATGTACATATTGATGAGAACTATTCAACTGTGTCCAATTGTGTGAACTTGACCTTACTTGTCTTTAATTTTGCCTTTAGCTCAGTTTCAAAGAAACTATTCAAGATATTTGTACCCCCACCCCGAAGGAGAGGGGGGTATACTGTTTTATCCTTGTTTGTATGTCTGTCTGTCAATCTGTCTCTCTGTGTGTCTGTCTGTAACAAATATTTGTGGCAGTTTTCTCAGCAACTTACCATCGCAGCTGCTTGAAATTTTAGCACACTCTTTGTCTAGGCATGCCATGTGATGGGATCTATTTTTGTATAAATCCGATGTCCACTTCCTGTTTATCCATTTGTATGTCGTACCAAATTTTCATTGGAGTTTTCTAAACAACTGTTCAACACAGATGCTTGAAATTTTAGCACACTCTGTCTAGGCATGCCATATGGTGGGATTCATATTTGTACGTATCTGATGTCATCTTCCTCTTTATCCTTGCATCTGTCTGTACCAAATTTCTGTCGCAGTTTTCTCATCAATTACTAATCGCAGATGCTTGAAATTTTAGCACACTCTTTGTCTAGGTATTCCATATGGTAGGATTCATTTTTTTACGAATCGGATGTCAACTTCCTGTTAATCATTGTATCTGTCTGTACCAAATTTCTGTCGCAGTTTTCTTGGCAACTACTCAAGGCAGATGCTTGTTCATGCCATATGGTGGGATTCATGAGAATGCATATTCACATGAAAGCAGGGGTATTACTAGTGAGCATTGGCTCACAGATTTCTTGTTTTATGTGGCAGCACTGCTAATTGGTGAGAATTTATCAACCATGTGCATTTTTTTAACCTTGACCTTCCCAATGACCTTTGATTTTAGATTTATTGTTTAAAGAAACTATTCAATATATTTTCATCAAATTTCATACACTAATACAAAGAGTTTTCATGTTACATTACTAATGAACCCTGGGTGGGGCATTTGTGTCCTATGGACATATTTCTAGTTCATAGAAAGTAAGAGATAAGTAGAGGTGAGGATACAAATACCATTGTTAAGTTTCACTTTCAGATTGAATGCTTTTTCGCAATTATTATACCCCCGCTCTGAAGGAGAAGGGGTATACTATTTTACCCTTGTGTGTCTGTCTGTCTGTCTGTCCGTGTAGCTGTCTGTCTGTCCGTAACAAATTTTGGTCGCAGTTTTCTCAGCAACTACTCATCGCAGATGCTTGAAATTTTAGCACACCCTTTGTTTAGGCATGCCATATAGTAGGATTCATTTTTAGCTCACCTGAGCTGAAAGCTCAAGTGAGCTTTTCTGATCACATTTTGTCCGGCGTCCATCTGTCTGTCCGTCTGTCTGTCTGTCTGTCTGTAAACTTTTCACATTTTGGACTTCTTCTCAAGAACCACTGGGCCAATTTCAACCAAACTTGCCACAAAGTATCCTTGGGTAAAGGGGATTCAAGTTTGTTCAAATGAAGGGCCACGCCCTCTTTCAAGGGGAGATAATTAGGAATTACTGAAAAAATAATGGAATCATTTAAAAATCTTCTTCTCAAGAACCATAGGGCCAGAAAAGATGAAACTCATGTGGAAGCATCCTCAGGTAGTGTAGATTCAAGTTTGTTCAAATCGTGACCCCCGGGGGTAGGGCGGGGCCACAATGGAGGATCAAAGTTTTACATAGAAATATATAGGAAAAATCTTTAAAAATCTTCTTCTCAAGAACAGCAAAGCCATGATGAGTCATATTTATATGGAAGCATCCTCAGGTAGTGTTGATTCAAGTTTGTTCAAACCATGACCCCCGGGGGTAGGGCGGGGCCACAATGGAGGATCAAAGTTTTACATAGAAATATAGAGGAAAATATCTTCTTCTGAAGAACTGCAAACCATTATTAGTCATTTTTATATGGAAGCATCCTCAGGTAGTGTAGATTCTATTTTGTTCAATTGATGACCCGCAGGGGTAGGGTGGGGCCCAATGGGGGATGGAAAGTTTTACATAAGAACATATAGAAGAAATATTTCTTCTCAAGAACAGTAAAGCTATGTTTAGTCATATTGATATGGAAGCATCCCCAGGTAGTGTAGATTCAAGTTTGTTCAAATGATGACTCCTGGGATAGGGAGAAGCCACAATGGGGGATCAAATTTTTACAAAGGAATATATGGGAAATTTTTTCAAATCTTCTCAAGTACAACAAAGCCATTTGTTACATTGACATGGAAGCATCATCAGGTAGTTTAAAATTCAAGCCCCCCCCCTCCCCCTCCCCCTCCCCAGTTTTCTCAGCAACTACTCATCGCAGATGCTTGAAATTTTAACACACTCTTTGTTTAGGCATGCTATATGTTGGGATTCATTTTTGTACAAATCAGATTTCAATTTCCTGATTATCACTGTCTGTCCATAACTGAACTTGTGTATTCACATCAGAGCGGGGGTGTAATTAGTGAGTACTGGCTCACAGACTTCTTGTTTTAATACAATAAATTAATCTACAAATTGAATTACATCCCAGGATGACAGATGAAAAAGTAGTGAAGTTATCTGACTATTCCATTGCTCCATTGTATCCAGGAGAATTCTATCTCTCTAATGACAATGTCTCTATCACAAAATGGTGGGCACCAGAAATTTTAGACATGGAGAAGGGAACCACTCCAGCATTCAGCCATAAAACAGATTGTGTAAGTGTAATTTACATCAGAAGGTGCATATTTTTGAATTTCCGAATTATCACTGGTAAAATTTTTGAGTAAAGAAGGCCATCATACATCCAACTTTATTGGTTTATTTGCCTTGGAAATGGGAAAATTCCATTTAATCTTCACCTTTTATGACAACACTATTCCATTTTAAAAAACTGCCAAATTTCAAATTCAAGCATTTGAAATATGCATGAAACAAATCATTGTTTATCAGATGATTGAAGATATTTTTTTCCCAAGCAAACTACATAGTATTGAAGTAAATGGTGTAACATTTATCAATTATTGTTCATAGTATATTTGCATAAATATATATATTTTTGGGTAATAGTGGTCTTATGGAATTGTTCTGTGGGAGTTGATGACAAGGGGAGTAACTCCTTATCCTGATGTAGAGACGGAAAACCTTAAGACATATTTGACTGGAGGACATCGGTTAAAGAAACCACGGCAGTGTCCAGAAGCCATGTAAGTGTACAATCATGTAAAGATTATCAATTCAAAACTCCAGCAATATCAGAGGCTGTGTAATTCTATAATCACATAGATTATCAATTCAAAACTGAGTATTTCAGAAGTTAAAGAGATTAGTATGTCACACCTAAATATGAGCTGTTGAATTCTGTAGTTTAATATTTTAATTTCCACAATTTGTATGTATTTTGAACAAAAGACTAATCTAATATACTTTCTTTGAAGATGTGATCTTTTAAATATTTTGGTAGTTGTTACACTCAAAAATTGAACCCTGGCATATGATTTCCACAATTTATTCCATGAGTGTTGCATTGATGAGAATTAACAGAAGACTGAATAAAATTTCACTTACAAGCATTATATAGAAGCTATAAATGACTAATTGGAATTTACAGAAAGTTACAAAATTCCCAGGGACAGGATTTGAAAGAAGCTAAGATATACATAAATCAAGATAACATAACCAGCTTTATAATTACATTGAAACAAAAGTCATGAGAGTCGCTAAAACTGGTAGAGTTGTAGTGATTAAAATATCAAATCGTTAGGAGAGCTGTCAAATTCATTTACTCACATCTGGTTGATAAACTCAAAATGCTGAGTTAGTAAGATTAAAGGGAAATTATATCTATGTAGAAAATTAACAGAATTTTACTCTTAACAGTAGTGGTTATGCTGACAAAATCAACTATATAAAAATAAATGTGTATGTGTGTGTACAAGGCAGTCTTGCATTTGATATTTTGTATTGTGTATGAATTTACAATGCATTCTCTGACCCTCTGACCTTTTATATTTTTTAACATTGTAGTTATCTGCTGATGTTGAAATGCTGGACGGACGTTCCCTCAGATCGTCCCACATTCCAGGAGATCAGCGGAGAAATCAAACATTTCACATCGGCCGAGGAATCTAGTGATGTCTCACAGCCTCTACAGACCAAAATAGAACCTGGGGGGTCCCAGGAGTACCTGGGGGTGATGGGCTGAAGAAATGGAGATGATATTTTGTCAGGCTTTTGGAGGGCAGGGATATGAGTGTTCATTTTGTGGAGATGATATTTTGTTGACTATGTTCAAATCAACAAGAAGTTGTACATTGGCTTAGGACATTGTACAATCAATTTGAATGGAAAATGAACCTTATATACAAAGACTGTGTAGTGGTAGGCTTATCTGCTATTTTTTTAGCTTGCTTTGTCAAAAAAAACCTTGAAAAGATTTAGTTCTCCTTAGAAAATACTTTTATACATTATAAAATTATTATTAAAAAATCTAGATTAGTCATTGAATTCATCTTTTGTTTTCCTCAATCAGAAAACATCAAATCTCAACATTGTGTTCCTACTTAATTAATTATCTGTTTTTATATATTACAAAACATTGAGTTGGTGGAATGTGTAACAGTTTTATGAGGGACCATCAATTTGGATTAATGAAAAGATTAATCTAAGACAACTCATTTAGTCATCAAAACGTGATATTTGAATGATTCTGGTAGAATGTCTCCATTTGATTGTCAAGTTTTTGAGTGCCAAATATTCTGAAGAACCATTGTCTATATATACAAATATCTGAGAGAAGCAATGGTGAAGTGAATATTATACCTTCATTTTTTACTCATTTTATGTGCAATTTTGTAGTGTATGAATACATGCATGACATTAGTATACAAATACATGCATGACATATGGCAAAAAATCTGATATTTGGTGCATATCAACTTTTTGTAGTCATTATTATTTATTGTGTTTTTACATCATGCTCTTTTGCATAGTGCCATATTTTTATCTTTATGTCAAACTTGTGTGTTTATACTCCAAGAAATATATATTATTATAACAGTAACTTGATTGGAAGAGCCGTATCACGTCAAGTTGACAGGCGCGGATCATCAGATCAAACGAGACGCGAAGCGTCGAGTTTGATCTGATGATCCGCCCCTGTCAACGAGACGTGATACGGCTCTTCGGATCAAGTTACTGTTATAATGATAAATTTATTATATACCCCTTTACAACTAGCAAAATGTAATAAAAGGTAACTTTTTGGATAAATTACATAACTTTTATACATTAAACAAACCATTTTTTCAAGGAACTTTTTGAAGCGCGAGAATAAAAACGTCATTTATCTGTGTACTACGTCATCAGTTTCAGAAAGGGGTGATATGGATTCAGAAAACCACAGTGTGGTGATCCGGAACGTCGGATCACACCATCATAAATTGCATAAATTCAACAGTAAAACTGAGTGACAAACAGTTGGGTATATAATAAATACATGCATCAGTACTGCATATCCTGATACTGATGTCAACACACCTTTGGTCATTGAAAACGTGCTGAACACGTTGTGTGTGCTACAAATAAGTTTTATTTTTTTTAAAGTGACAATACATTTTTTGTACTATTTTACTTCTAAATCAAAAATAAACCTACATTTTCTATGTTATCAAAGTGCTTGCTAAAGACTGTCAATTTGTTGCATGTACCTAAATGTTTCCTTGGCTCTGGCTTTTAACTTACTTGTAGATAATGACATTTCTTTTCAATTTACAACTTACAGATGTTCAGCTGAAATGGACTTTTCTGTGTTTACATTATATACATGTTTTTCTGTGTATGATATTTCATTATTCAATGCATTCATATTTAAATTATTTTTGTATCAGGCACTGTACTCTTTTTTTTTTTTTAAAATCAAATATATTTGTCTATATTAATCCATATTGATACTTCCTTACCGTTTTTATGTCAGATTTGATACATAAAATTTATCTAATATCTTGCCTCATTCTAAACTTAATTATCACATATGACTGAAATTGATTATTTTTTGGGTTCACAGAAAGACTGAAAGAGTTATGTATTTCATATTTTTCATGATATGCAAAGCCAATATAAGTATTTTAAACACTTATTGTAGTGTCAAGAAGGTTGTATATTGTTACATATGTAAAGATATTTGGGAGAGAAAACTTATTTTGTACAATTATTTTTTTTAGTTTGTACTGGCTTCAGATGCACAGCTTTATACATATATATACTGTATATTAAATCATTGGTTTTTCTTTTTGATATCAAAAAGAGAGTGACAGTGTTTTTAAGTCCCAATATGATACAAAGATGTATAGACTGAAAATAGCTTAGCTTTTGCATTTTTATTTTGCTGATAATATGTTTTTAAGCATTGAGGCATTTTACATGTGTATTGTTGCTTATATTGTATACATATCTTAAATAAATTTTGTCCATGAAAAATGTTCTCCTGACTTTAAAGCTACTCTTTAACAAAAATGTATGCAAGTATTCCTTACCTCTAACTATAGATTTTTCCCTCAGTGGCACAGAGGTTACTGGACTTAATACCAGAGCTACTTGAGGTATCATAAGTTGATTCTATGGTTCCATTTAGAATAATATGCAATTTAAGATCAGCATCGCTCCTTGAGAGCTCTTCAAAACTACGTGCAATATCATCTGATTATTTTGGTGCATGGTCACGTGATAGTTTTAGCAAAGGTACTTCTTCAGAATTTTTTTTTTGTGAAAGGAGAGTTCCCTACTTTCATACAAGTATGAGTTTAATAGAATCTTCTTACATTTTGACTTTAACCCGTGGAACAAATTCTACCAAGCTTGCCACAAAGCATTGTTTGGCAAAGGGGATTCTAGTTTAGCCAAATACGGTACCATTTCCTCTTTCAAAGAGATGATTAAACACAATAAAAGTAGGATGGGTTATTATAAAAAATCTACCTCTCAAGAATTACTGACTGACATAAGAAGAAACCTAAGGCTTTCTTAGGAAGTGTAAATTTAAGGTTGTTGAAATAAAAGTTTTAGGAGGGATCTCCTGAAGAACAGCAGTGCCATGATCAGTAATATTAACATGCAGGCATTCTGATGATGTTGCAGATACAAATTTTTTCATTTAGTCATCTCCCCCACCCACCAAACCAATGAATAGAATGGGACCACAAACTACAGTAGAGAATTAAAAGATTTACTTACGAATGAATAGGTAAAATCCCCCTCTGCCGCTCAACAAAGCAGGGCTGTGACGGACATATTGTCGTTTTGTACATATTGTCGTCGGCGACAATATGTACCTACCCTCACTGCACATATTGTCGTCCATTGGTACATATTGTCGCCGACTGAAAAGTTACATATGTACATATTGTCGCTGGCGACATTATGTGCCTCACCCTCACTGTACATATTGTCGCCCCACAGATATTGTTGTTTAAAGATGTCTTTTGTTGTTTATTGGTAGTTTTGTGAATGTAATTGGTGTGAGAATCACAATGAAGTGTATCGTATCCTATTTCATGCAGCGTGATTGTGACGGTACATTTTGTCGTCCTGTTCATATTGTCGCCGGCGACACTGTGTACCTTCCCTCACTGTTCATATTGTCGTCCATCAGTGTTATTGTATATGTTAAGTTACATGTAATTATTTAATTATGAAATTTTACCTGTGAACTAAATATATGACTTAAACAAACGGAATTTACCAAAGAAAAAAAAATCTAACACCAAGCGGGGGGGGAGGGGGGGGGGGGTTTCTACATCTGTCTTTGGTGTTTGAGAAGATTTTCAAAGATTTTCTGTATATATATTCCTATGTAAAACTTTGATCACCTATTGCGACCCCACATTACCCCTAGGGGTCATGACTTGTACAAAATTAATTTTGTTTGTTTGTTTGTTAATAAAGTGTCCCTCTCGAGAATTTTTCATTCATATTGAGACGTCACTACTTACCGGTGGGGGGCTGCAAATTTAGACCTATACTTGGCACTCAGGATCATTGAGCAGTGAGGGATCTTTTTTGTGCCAGCACCTCAAAATTGAACGTACCCTATGAAGCTTTCACATATGTATCGTCTCTTCTGACCCAGTAGTTCTTGAAAAGAAGATTTTTAAAGATTTTTATTCTAAATATTCTATGAAAAGCTTAGATCATTTATTGTAGCCACACCTATTCCCCGAGGGACATGATCTGAAGAAAACTGAATTTACCAGTACACTTTTTAACGAAGCTTTCACACAAGTTTCAACTTTTCTGACACAGTGGTTGTTGAGATTTTTAGAAGTCACTAAATTTTCACTTATTCTTAACTACTTTCCTTGAAAGAGGGCATGTCCCTTCATTTGAACAAACTTGAATCCCCTTTATCCACGGATGTAAGTGTGGCAAGTTTGGTTGAAATTGACCCAGTAGTTCTTGAGAAGAAGCTGAAATTATGAATAGTTTACAGACAGACGGACGGTCAGACAAAATGTGATCAGAAAAGCTCACTTGAACTTCCAGTTCATGTGATCTAAAAATGTTATTCTGTGCGTTATTCTTATATTATTATTAACAATAAATTAATATTTATTATATCATATCGGCACATGATCGTATATAAGAATAACGCAAAAAATAATTTCCAAATAATCATTACTACTGAACAAAAAAAAAAAAAAAAAAAAAAAAAAAAAAAAAAAAAACCTGTATTCAATCTCCAAGTATATATTACGAGAATAAAAGAATAGCTGATTTATCGGATATCTCAAGAATTACGGTATCTTGATATGTCATAGTAATGTACATCAATTCTGGACACGATTTTCTGACCAAAATGTTTTCTCCCTATATAGTATTGCGAGTAATGCTGTCTGTCTCCCTTTCTGCGTGTGTGTTTGTCAATCTCTTTTTTTTCTCAAGTAAATATTCGTCAAAACAATATATCGACGACAATATATGCCGACCTTGACTGTACATATTGTCGCCGACGACAATATGTGCTGGTGCTTGACTGTACATTTTGTCGTCCATTATGCAGGAGGAAAATAAGGTTCGTCTCGGTACATATTGTCGCCGGCGACAATATGTACCGATGGACGACAATATGTGCAGTGAGGGTAGGTACATATTGTCGCCGACGACAATATGTACAAAACGACAATATGTACCGTCACAAGGGCCATTATTAGTATTTATTATTAATTTAATAATATTATTATTTATTATAATATGCATTTTACAGTATCAAGTTTGTTTAAAGCCCCATGGAGAGAAGACTTCTCAATAGCTTCCTTTTTTCTTTTTTTTTTTTGAAAAAGATTGACCATTTACTGTTGCTTAATCGCTACCCAAAGGGGTTATGACTTAAGCGAACTTGTATCCACACATCAGAGAGATGCTTCAAAATATTTTTATGAAAAATTTTAAATGACTGTTATAGCACTGCACTACGTAACCTGAGGATCACTGCATGTTTTAAAGCCATTCTCTTCTATTAATACTTAAACTTTTTAGCATGCATGATGAAGGATTTTCTTAAACTTCGGGCATAAGTTAAGACTCCATCCTGCAAATGTAAACAATAGATTTATGTTTTCATGGAATGGGGCAAATAGTTGAAAAAATGTATACAGGGAAATTTTCGCCCTCGTTGCAATTAGGCGAATTTAAAATGGGGTACATTCAAAGAATTATATTTATGTATCAATTGATAGAAAAATTATAAAAAATAGTGTTTACATAATTACATATGAACAATATATAAATATGAACGTTTTTAACCAAAGTTACGTCATACTCAGTATTACATCACAATTACAAAGAGGAGATAAAGTATTTGTTTTTAGAAACATCAAGTCATATTAACTATTATGATGTAATTAACTCTTGCTGTTTTACAGAAGATTGTTTCCTTTTTCATAAACATCAATTCTGAATGCTATTAAATCAATGTTCTGTCTAGATCGTGCGATCAAGTTCGAGAGCTGGGTATCGTATAGAATATATAGTGTAATTACATGTATGTAGATATGAGAATAATGAATAAATGGATGAAATGTTACACCATTATTGTTAACTCGGTCAGGACAATGGAGATATGGCTGGTTGACTCCTCCATGGTACCTGATCTCATTTCTGTTTTCAGACGTCCGTGTTGACACTGCTCAAAATTAGTATTATTTAAATTGACTTTTGAGCATGACCGCTGTTCGTTATCTCCACACTTCATTCTTTACAATAACACAATCAATATTTATTTCATGTACTCAATAACTTTCACTTTTCCTGAATCAGGTAATCCTATCCACAACGTTCCCCCACTACTCAAACTCAATCCATAAGGTTTAACTAGTCCACAATTATCTACACATTTCAGGAGCTGTCCATTCTGGTCTAGGATGTGTAGACAAGCATTGTTTATGTCTGTCATAATGATCTGACCAGCAGTATCTGTTAGTATATATCTTGGCCTGAACGTCTTTTCTCTCATGGCTGGTGAACCATCATATAGAAATCGGACTCTCCCTGCCTTGTCTACCACTACTAAGATGTCTGCATTACCATCACAAACACAGATGTCTCCATTGATGTTCTCTGCCACAGCTAGTATATCATACCCTTCTTTAAAGATTGGATTTCCATGTTCATCTTTATCCATTTCCATTTTCAATATATTTCCCTGATAACGTATTATTTTGTTTTGTGTGTAACTAGACACATTGACCAGTATATCCCCTGAACTGGTACAGCAGAGTCTGTATGGTCTCCAGCCCCATGGTGTGGTGATCATTACCTCTGGTTTCCCGTGCCTGACAATATGCACATTTTCAGTTGTAGAATCACTGTATATCAGTTCTCCCTGCCTAGTTACACAAATATCAGCAGGAAAGGTTTGACATGCGGTGGAGACTGTTTCCTGTAGAGACCCGTGTAAGTCAACACGTCTTATGACTTCGTCATCACCACTAACCCAGACTTCATCTGTTCCTACACATGCCACTCGCCAGAGAGGTTTAACTCCAGTGGAAATGGTGGAAATCACCATTGCTTTGTCTAATGACTCTTTCATAGTTTTATAGGAGACTTTATTTGTCGGAGTGAATGACGCTGTCTGTGTAAGTGTAGCCCTGTATTCGCCAAATTCGATGCCGATTTCTCTACCTTCGACGATTTTTGTATTCAATGAAGGAACTTTAACATCAATATCAGCAGGTATATTTCTGTATTGTTTCAGTTTGGATTTATAGTTTGTGACTTCAGACACTCTGTTAGTTTTCAGGATGTTTTTGTTCCGCTCCATTGTTTGGATCATATCTGAAATAATATTTTTTAATCTTGACTGGTGAGATTCTAGAAGAGTGAGGTAATTTTCTCTCTTTGAGTTGATCAAAGAATTGAGTTTATTGAAGATGATATCTACTTCTTGATGCCACACTTTTCTGTGTTTATCTGTTTGTTTGACCA